ATTTCATTAAATAAGAAGCAAGAAAATGTTATTGAACTGTATATCTAAATAACTGATTAAATGCAATGAATTTATCAAAGGAAATGTTGAACAACATACTGCATACAATTACCCCCCCCACACACACACACACAAACATGTACATGCACAATATATTGTATGACATACACATATACAATCATAAATGACAAATACTGCTCAACTGAGCTGAGGAAATTAAATAAATGAAACATTAAGAAAATAAAGTAAGCCTTTAATACAAATGATGTAAAATTAAACAAGTATATTTCAAAACATGGATGATTCTGTGATAAATAAATCGATTCTTGATCTTTTCAAGTATGAGTTTTGAGTTTCCTAAAAAACATGAAAGTATCTTTCATCAAATATTTTACATAAACGAATACATGAAATATATATTTTGTAAATATAAGTTTTTGAATGTTATTTCATTTTTGAAACATTGCCAGTCAATATAAATCAAATGTGACTTTAATATAATTCTAGGACCTTTGGTCGCTTGGTAAAAAATCTGTAGAATGTAGCACAAGATATGGTAATCAAACTTTAAATGCAATAAAACAAAAGTGTACAGCAATGTTAGAGATACTGTGAAATAATTTTGTTGTGGTTGTTGGTGATTTCATTTCATTGATTTCGCAGATACTCGTCCTCGAAAAATGATGGTTTGTGTGTACAGCTGTAGGTCAACTAGCTGGGGCAAAAATAGGTATGATTACGATGTCATTTCAAATTATCCTGTTTCAACAGTACTGTAGGAGTGATAATGCTTATATTTTAGTGAGAATGATGGCTTAAATGTTATAAATTAAGGTCAATCTAACTTAGAAATCATATCTCTGGTCAAACTGGCAATAAATGAGACCGACACCATCGTATAAGGGGAGACAATCCTCAAACACTATTTCAATGCGACTCATAGTAAGTAGCTTCTACCCACAGCTATATAGTCAGGTCAAGATTATATATTCACAAGATAATGCTTTATTTAGAGGCAGGGATACTTTAATACTTTCTTAACGTTGATGTATACATAAATAATGACTACTGTGACTCCTAAGACTAGAAAAGATTACAAAAATAATATCACACTTCAGACTACGACAGAATAAATACAGATAAAATATACTCTCTAGTGATGTGTGCCCCATAACTGTATATACAACATTTATTAAAATACACACCATCACTTCATTTACAACTTGTAAGTTAAAACAATGAATATCTGCTCATCTATAATAAAACATTCTAAAATTCATTAAAAGGTTACAACTACTGTATCTTCCTGGTGAATGCCAATATTATGAAGAACGCAACAAGAACTGGATTCTAATTTGAATAAAATAACTAACAGAACGAGCCAAACCAGCAGTAACGTATATACAGCAGTGATTGTGCGTGTTTATGATTGTTGCAAAAATATTAAAATTATCTGAAGAATGATGCATGCTATTTCATATCGTCCAGTCGTCTCTCTAGGTTTGGACAAACCAACTCTGTTGGGGATTGAAACATTAAGAATTAATAGTCTGGTGTTATACAATAAAAACTCCTACTGAACTGCAAAAATCTACAAATAAAAGACTAAGTAACATTGTTTGCTAAAGTACCTTGAACTATTATTGCTTGATGAAATATGTTTTATGACACAAAGAGATTCATACAACCAACTATAAATTAAACATAAAACAAAGACCTTTCATATACAACTACATAGTTGCAACATAAACAGAACTTTTCATGTTCCCGCGACTAAATCCTAAATTCTCTGATTCTAATATATACTTTTTTATACCAAATACATGGATGCCTGTCATTTTATAAAGAAAGTATTTCCAAGATTTTCCCAAGTCATTTACTGAAAATTTGAAAGTTTCCCTGTCCAGTTAATATATCTGTGAAATGTAATCACCCCTCTCCTTTAGAACCTGAATAAAGTTTGCCTGACTGTTTGAAATGCTGTATGATATTATACGCAACAATGGTTTAAATAAAATCAAAATAACACGACCAGTCTTCATGTTCATGTTAAGGATCCTCACCGCCAAAGATTGTAACCTTGCAGTGGAAACTGACTTCTCCAGCAAGACTATAGCTTTGATAAATAATTTTAAATGATATTAAATTTTGAGAAATATAAGAATTAAAGACACATTTTTTATATAAATAGTTTTTGTAATCAGATCTCAATATCTAGCTGATTTACACTGGAAACAATTTGATACATACAGTTAATTTCAATTCAGAATGTAGATTTTAAAATATGTTAATCAAGACACTTCTTACAAATGACGAGATTATCACAGCTCAGCATTACAGGTACCATTATTTAGGGGTTTTTCCAGAGACAAATGAATGATTACAGCAATATTAAAATATTAAAATAATGGCAACGGATAAAAACATACATTCTAACCAATACTGCATTACACAGGTGCTTGAATTACTGGTCCTTTCCCCTATACAAAAAATCTTGGACATGAGCAAGTCTGTAAGTATGTATATAGCAGTGAATTCCTCTTATGTACCAGTACATTTTCAATTGAAAATCACATATAATAAGAAAAAGGTGACAGAAAAATGTATTACTGTGAATTAACTACTTATAATGTATTAGCTAGGTACATGTACAAAAAAGAGATTTTATTAGCTACAAATTTATCCCACTTTTTATAGGACATAATTAAAAGCTGTTTTGACTATTTTTTATGGCTGCCACCAAGCCCAGGTGTGAATACAACCTTCTCCTGACTATAACGAGAGTAGTCGACATCGTTTTCATTTGAATACACTGTATGTATGGGAATGTTTTACATGTGGTTTGTTGTACAAATGGAACAGATGATCATGATGTCACGAGTTTAGCTCAATCACATAATATTAAACAAATAACATTACATATCATATACGGAGAAAGGTCATATTTCATGATTATTAATGAAAAGGCAAAGGTTCAAGTGGAATCCAGTGAAGGCAGATAGACTTGCTCAAGTCAGAGGGGGCGTAGTGAAGGAGTTGTTATCAGAATAAAATATGCAAACTGTATATATATTGACTAATGGAACAATCAATGACTAATTAATTCACTAATCTCATTCACTTTACCTATACAATCATATAACAAAAAGGGCCAAGTTTCAATTCTCTGACTATTTCACATCTAGAATTTTCTTCATGTAGGTATATACATTGTACCTTCCAAATCTCACAATTTCAGGAGTCTTCGTGTTTTGACCCTCAATTCTGATTTTTGTAACAAGCAAAATTCAAACACATCTTCCTTTTTGCTTGAATTCAATTAAATTATTACAGAAAACTGCTTACCGTAAACTAAGGTACCAGTTAACGTACAGGTTTTGGTTGGAAAACATGACCAGTGAAGTAATCATTTATGGGAATAGGGTTCACTCAGGAAAATGCCTGCCGAATAAATGACAAAAAAGTTTGTACTGACTAAATCTATCACAGTTTTAATGCTATGGTTTGTTTTACTGGACATTAACTTATTTTGGGAAATGGTTTCTTAGTCCAAAGGAAGAAAATAGAGAATATTAAAATTCTGATGTCAAAATGTTTTATCATAATTACTATACTAAGTTTGATTTTTTATAACCAAAAAAATGGAAGATATTTTAAAGGGAACATTAATGGATTTTTTTGTTTGCTAATTGGCAATATCGACAAATTGGAAAAAATGGAGCTTAATATTGATTGGTAATAATTGATGGGCAGATTTATGTTCAAAAGACTATTGACTGTTGGACAGAGGACAAAAAGGATCCTTACTGTGCCTGGTCCTAGTACTAACCTCTGGAGAGGAGGAAAGGTAATAGTGTGGGTAGTTCAATTCATCAGAACTGTATCACAGTTGTAGCAGTACCAGGATACAATGCATCTTAAAGGTACATCATAATAAAAAGAATTTGTATGTAATGCAATGAAGCTACAATATAAATGAGAATTGAATATAAATAAACTAATAAATGATCAAGGTGTTCATCATGGCAAATAATTAATTAATAATAACAAAACATAAGGACTGCTGACTTGTTCAACAACAAACCTATTTCTCCATAACACTATGTAAAATTTAAGTTCATACATCGTCATGTATGCATAAATGTCTGACTTATTTCTTCGCTTGTTTGAGTAGTAAAACTTTCGGAGTTAAATAAGGAGTCAACGCTGATCAGCAAATGAATAATACTACGTCATGTTTTATGTACAGGTCAGGTGTACGGTATTACTGTGTACAGGTCAGGTGTACGGTAATACCGTACACCTGACCTGTACCCAGAAATTCCGTACCCCTGACCTGTACACAGTAATACCGGACACCTGACCTGTACACAGTAATACCGGACACCTGACCTGTACACAGTAATACGGGACACCTGACCTGTACACAGTAATACAGTACACCTGACCTGTACACAGTAATCCGGTACACCTGACCTGTACACAGTAATCCGGTACACCTGACCTGTACACAGAAATACCGTACACCTGACCTGTACCCAGAAATTCCGTACCCCTGACCTGTACACAGTAATACCGGACACCTGACCTGTACATAGTAATACCGTACACCTGACCTGTATACAGTAATACCGTACACCTTACCTGTACACAGTAATACCGTACCCCTGCCCTGTACACAGTAATACCGTACAGGTCAGGTGTACGGTATTTCTGTGTACAGGTCAGGTGTACGGTATTACTGTGTACAGGTATAATATTTGTATGAAAATCCTGAACCCAGAATGTTCTATATACTGTACACAGATGCACAAATCCTGACCCAAGGATGTTAATTGGAAGTATGCAGATAATTCCAGGATACGTATGTATATGCAAGTATACAAATCCTACTGCAGATGTGTATGTGCAAATATGAAAGTCATGACCCTAAAATGTGTATATGCATGCAAGCATACAACTAATATGGCAAGCTTTTCATAAGCAAGTATGAATGTCATTACTCCAGGAGTTTTTATATGCGAGTATACAGAGTCTGACCCCCTGTTGCTTCTTCTCCATCCTCTCTGAGACAGTCACCAATGAACATCCAGCATTTGTTAGCATACGTCTCTGGGTTCTCCCTGAGGATTGATACATGCTTTGGTGTCTCCCAGCACTCAGACTGGATGTGTAGCTTGAGCTTGTCCCTTCTGTATGTGACTATCTCCTCAACATCTGTGTGTGGAATGATCTTGTCAGCACGGGAGTACAAGTACAACTGAGGCCATCGCGCCTTGTCCTCCTTTATAAACTCAAATACGGAATAGGGGCTAATGGTGATGCCACTGGATCTATTGAATAGTCTTGACAAAAACAGATAGATCCTCAAGAAGAATAAATATGTCACCATGCCTACAAAGTAGGCAATTTTCATGAAACCTGAATTGCCAGTAGAGATTGCAAAGGCTTGGGCGGCTCTGAAAATTCTGCGTTTTCCTGGTGCACTGTCGACAATAGATCCCTTCACTTTCAACTTTGAGTATTTCCTGCCCTCTACGGAGTGTAAAATTCTGGAGATTTCTGAGTAGACAAAAGCGCCATTGTTGCTGAAGATATGAAAGAAGACAGGACTCTCCTCCAAGTTAAAGTCACTGATCAAATCCAGTACTCTAATCCCTATTCCGTGGAGGAGATGAGGCTTGAAGAAGGTGATTTCTTGAGGTGGAATGTAACGGATAGTTATACACCTGAATAGAAAATAAAAAATACACATAACTTTAATTTTAAAATTTGCTTACTGAATAGTTATCTTAAAATATCAAGATCTACACTTTTAAGCATCAGTATTTATTTCTAAAAGATGCATTATTCTGATTTTCTTACTGTAACCTGCAAGTACTGCACACACAAATGACATAAATAAAGTTCATATTAGATAAAGATTTTTGTTTTTTGTTGGAAAACTGGGCAATAGCTTACATAAATTTATACCTTCCATTAGAATTCATATTATATAAGAATATTATAGATACACATATTTTTCCATTGTATGTATTGTGTAAATCCCACATAAAAAAAGTCTTGACTAATGAAAATGGGCAATCCACACAAAAATATATCATAATTCCAATTCATCTACAGTTATTTTCCTATAAAAGGAGGAGTATCATAGATGAACAAGAATTTTCAACTACTATCACAACATTTCACTTATATGCAAGAATTTCTTCAGGCAAATCCTTAACTTTTTTTTCTATTTTTAATTTCCCATTAATAAGAGATACAATGGGTTCTCAGAAAGTAGGCGAATATCACAAGGAAAGCATAAGTCATGGACTCAAAATGACAAACATCCGAGTCCCATAATCACTGTGCATGTAGAGCCTGTAGGCTATATCACTAGGCCTACTACTGTTTTGAAATATTAATTGATTTACATAACATGATGCTTCATCATTGTTCCATATTATTTGACAAGCTATGACACATATGATGGACATATATGATTCTATGTTTTAGATTATTGAATATTTTACTGTATGTTTCACATTCAAATAAAAGAAAAGCATTATGTGTACTTTTAAACTGACCATCATGTTTTAATGGAATAGCAGTTTATTTTATGAATAATGTCCACAAATTAATGTATCAAATAATGTATATTAGACACCAATATTCGATTTTAAAATTGCATTTTAGTTTCTTTTAAAGGACCCCAATGGAAATAAGCTTTCAGCTTTTTGGGTTATCCTAGGTAAAAATTCTAATCTTTTGATCACAATGTTCATGTTGTTATTTTAAGGTACAAGTTTAATGTAATGTACTCTGTGATATTTATGTATTGTAATATGCCTATTTTATCTGATTAAATATTATTATTATAAATATTTTACAACTATATGAATCGATGACATCATGTGTGTAGGGGTGCGGTGTATAGTATTGTAGAGCACTCTACATGTAATGATGTATATAAGTTATACATTATTTTACACCATAAATGTTTTCATTTCTTTGTTCCTTGTTAGCATCTGCCTTCTGTGACATACTGGTAGCCTTACAGCATTAACTTGCATGACTACTTTGTGCAACAGCGCTGCACACGAACATACTTAAGATGCATACTTAAAGTCTAACGGGCAAGGTCAGCGGAAGACAAAGTACACACCTATTTTGCTCGTATATTTTGCTGTACTTTGCAAGATACTGGTCCTTGCAACCTGCCCAGCCGATAAGAATGACAACAGGTTCAACGTTCTCCCCGGTCACATTAACGAAATCGTGCAACAAGTCCGCATCGTCATCATCGAAAACATCTCCTGAAGTCGGGGTAGGAAATGTTATGTGGTAGTCAAGTTCTAAATCGTCCTCACTTTTCTCCATGTTGGATTTGTATATAACCGGAAATGATAACGCGTAATTTGATTCGCGGAGACACGTTATTCTTGACCAATGAGAAATGATGTTACAAAATCAAGAAACCAATATGGCCGTGTAGCAACAAATATCAACAACGTTGAGGTGAAAATTTCAATAATACGAGAATTTCATGTTCAAAATGAGGATTTACATGTTTTCAGAGATGTAAACTTTTAGATACCACCTGAGATTTTGAGTAGTGTTACAGGACGTTACAAAACACACAAAAGGATACAATAATTTGAGTTACCGCATTACAGAAGTTCCAACTGAGTGAATGTTTTTAAAACTGAACCAAAATTGAACACTGAATTTTGTGACAGAATAAGAAAGATGGGATCGGCAAAACAGCAGTCGGCTATTTCAAAAGTGATGAACCTTCTTCAAGAATGGGACAAAGGAAGCAAAGCAGTGAGAGGGAGGATTCTTAAAGACTTCATTTCACAGAATCAAAACAAGACTGGCCCTGAGCTGGAACAGGAGTTTGCTCAAGCTGCTAGTCTGTTTCTTGCCAGATTAACAGCATGGCTACGACTTACGTATCCTTTTTGTCTGGTGCCATGGGAAATTTGCACTGACATGTCACAATGAAGGTGACACTAAAGAGTATTAATAATTGTGTATGTTTTGATGTCTAATTGAATAAAACCTGTCTTGCGTGCCCCTGTGATCAGACCCTACAACAACCCTACTACAAGACAATTTTTTATATATATATTGCATTGTCAGAGTTATGAATCGGTCCTGTGCCAACAAATGTAGCAAAATCAAAAGTGTCCAATCTGTTAGATTGCATATAATTAATGCCTCAAATGAGTAGCCTAAAAATAATGCATAATTGATGAAATATGGAATCTTTACTAATAAAATGACCCTTTCAGAAATTTACCAAGTCTGTCTTGCAATAAAAAAAGACATGACTGCTGTGACAGATCATGTATATTGTTATCTCAATGATCTGTTCCTATATATGGCCTGCATTGCCAAATATAGTATTTCTATTGATACCACATTGTTTACTACAAATTCTATATACAATCTCAGACCTATATCGAAAGAAAGATGAAATTTCCATTATGGTGTCAATTAAGATTTTGATTGCCCACGCTATGTAAACTTGATAATATAACAACATTTTACGCAGAGTTTAATTAACTTCAAGTCAGATTGGATATCAACAGAAATAGCATGTAATACAAACCAGCATATGGAAGCTGTCAAATAATGCTAAAAATGCCCTGGTGTGATTCACACCGGACTTGCTCCATTACAAGGCATATGGGGTCAATTTAATACCCAGCCGAGGAGGAATTAATTTCAGTACTACCCTGAATATTCTAACACTCAGTGTTCTTTCAACATGTTTTACAAAACCTTGATCATTTTAATACCTCTGTATTCTGACATTCTGGTTTCTTCTAAATAACAAGTTGTGTCCAAGTCTAACTCACTAAGAAGTGTAGGTAAGTGACACAGAACTGTTCTACACCTACATGTACCAATGTCACCGGAGCAGTATCAATATACAGGCCCACAACAAGGCTTTAAAAGTTACAGACATTAGACTAATGAAACCATGCAGATTGGGTACCTAGATCATAGACTCACACACACATGTTTTGGAAGATCGCTCCAATTTTTTTATTTAGATAATATGTATATGTACACTAACGTGTGTAACAGTGATGCTTTAACTCACATCAGATATATGATCGGGACCAGTCTGAACGACCAGTTACGGGCAATATCAATATTCCTATCAGCTTCAAGTGGGTAAGTTCTGCAAAAGGTTTTTGAAAATCTATGAGAAGTATCATTACCTAGGTACGGTAATTTCTGTTGTGAGAAGCAGCAGAGCTCCCTGAGACTTAGCCTATTGATACATGTTTTCCAGATAACATTAAGTAAGTCTTCTGCAAAGTGCAAAAGTCATTGACAACAAGATCCTTTCTACTGATGTATACAGGCTCGGAGATCAAAATCTTATAAAGACACTCATTGACTTATCAATTTATTTGATTTGTCAGAAATTTATTTTTTAACTCTTTCTTTTAGCATAGTATTGAGAGTTGTTTAAATTCAGTGATATCGTTTACAGATTTTGAAAAAATGGTATGAATTCTTATTGGCTTTCATTCAAACAAGTGAATGTAAAATAGTTCTTATTCAAATCAATTTTAAATGAGGTCAGTGCTTGCTATAATAAATGTTATACCACTGCATTCCTTTTTTCAGACACAAGTTTATGGCAGAGTTTCTTGAAGTTGGAGGAGTTTTAACACTACTTGAGATAATTGGCTTAAAGCAGGCAAAAGAAGCAGACAAACTTGAAGCTCTCAAATGTTTACAGGCCATAGCCAATGCTGGTCGAAAATACAAGGAACTCATCTGTGAAAGTTATGGTAGGCATCAAGTGTAATGATGAATTTGGGTAATTTCTCTAAAATTTATCAGATACATTGTGCAGAGGAATGTCATTTTCCAGGTCTTCTGGACTGACAATTCAGTTTACATCTTTCACATAATAAGTGCACCACCACTGCTACAATATTAAGCATGCTGCTACAAAATGTAGCTTTTCTGAGTATAACATGGTTATAATTGTTTCCCTCATTTAATGTCACTGAATACCTCATTAACCTGTCTAACCTCAATCTAACCAAAGATTCCCACAGTGAAACATATAATCATTTTTCTAAGACTGGGATTTTGGTAATTTTTTTAAAGTGCACTGTAAGTTTATTAGGTCAAATTCAACTTTTAAGATATCAGGACCAACAAAATATTCCAACAGTTGAATTTTTAATGGTGACAAAAATATAGCAATGAACTCACAACCTCAGGTGTTACACTTGGTATGAACACTTGGTTCCTGAATTGAATGTTTTAGTGTCAGAACTTGTCAAGAAATTTCTATTTTAAAGCAAATTAGTTATTGAAGAATAGAAACAGAAATTTTGCTGAGCTCTTTAATAATTAACGATGTTCTTATTTATTCCATCAGGTATCCGGGCAGTGGCTGAATGTCTGGCCAAGTCAAAGACAGAGGAGACTCAGGATGCTTGTAGAAACCTGCTGCTGATGTTGGCTCAGGGAAATCCAAAGTTCCAGACACAGGTGTACAAGGGACTTATTGCCCTTCTTCCATGTAGTTCTCCAAAGGCCCAGCAGATGGCAGCACAATCACTACGTACTGTACAGGTACGGTATGAAAAAAAATGTCCTCATAAAAATCTTGGTTCTGAAAATATGAAGTTGTTTGAACGGCTTATACTATTACTCCTTTATTTAATTGGCTGTACATGTTGAAATTTAATATGCATCTATATACTAAAATGACTTAATTAACCCATGCTGGCCAAGCTTTCAAATTCTTCATGTCAACATCTAAAGATTTTGCGAATGTACTTACACTTCTAAATTGACATGATGAAATTAAATACCATAATTTTAGATGTTATGTAATTAATTAATGGAATTTTAGCGAAAATCAACATGTAGGGAATTTCTTTGGTGGCAAATATAAAAAGAATTATGGTGCAAAAAACCCCCCAAAAAAAGAGTTTTTCTCCGGTATATGTAAACTTGGTAAGTATGTTCACTTGATACACCCTCATGAGATGTCACGTGCTCCTACACAAAGTTAGGGAAGAATTACAAACTTATACTGTGAAGACTATTTCAATAATTACTTAATTTGGTGTTGTTGTTTTTTTTCAGATAGAAAACACTTTGCAATCAGATTGAAGATTTCTTGTTATCATTGTGTGTAGAATTTTAGACTGAACTGTTTATTTCTTTTAGCCGATAGTTCAGACTGCCAATGTCAGTATAGTGGAGCCTCTTCTCAACCTGCTAAAGACACTGCACCTAGAGGTCCAGTTTGAAGGTATGATATATCTTTGACTGTTCTGAAATAGATACTGTCCAGAAACAAATTAAGTACCTTTCTCAATGGTTATTGCTCATACCAGAAACAATAAATAACTTGATAGTTAATTTACTGATAATTTACCGAGAATATTTTGAAATATTCTATAAGTGAGTAGTGATAGGGAAAGCTTTTCATAAAGAAGGGTCACATGCAAGTGATTAATATGGTTGCGATGGGTATATAAGAGTATTTGTAAAAAAAATAATGGTGACCTTTTCAATTATTTGGCTTCTTCTAATGCAAAAATGGAATTGATCAGACCGCTTATAATGAGAATATAGTTGAATGAATGAATCAGTTTGAATGAATGAACGAATGCAAGGACTCAAGGAGAAACACATGTAGGTAGTTTATTCATACAGTCTTGATTCCATTGGTCTTGGTATACAGCCAATCCAGCCTGAGAGGACTACCGAAATAATTACCAAGCTCCTCTTTTTTTTATCTTAGCAACCTGTCAATGTACATTTATTGTATATTCATTTAGGAGTTGAACTGATCAAGGAGTTGATGGCCTATGATGAGGTAGCAGATCTCTTACAAAAAGGTTTGGTTGGCCTGTTGCACCCATCCAAAGAGGACACCATCCGGCGACCAGAGATACTTGAAGGTAAGCACATCTTGCTTTACATCTTTACTTATTCCAAACTGGTACTACCAGAAGGGCCTATATAGGTTTTCACTCCATTCATCAGTCAGTGCATCACATTGTATGTGAATATGGCTTGGGATGACAAAGTATTGCGTACCAAGAATGGGTCTCGCATTCTACTATATTCAAGTTATGTCCCTTTGTTCACGCCTTGCATTCCTTTGTACGGGGAATATCTCATATATACTCTGTCACCTACAATTGCCATATTTTGTATGTTAGTACATGTACCTCTTGAGATGGAAGACTATTGTGTAATGAAACCAGGTGTCATGTTCCTGTTTATGCAGAGTCATTGCCCTTTACTCACTTTTGATACCAAAGTTTGTCCAGAATAAAGGAATTATGGATGGTCACAATACTTTGCCTTGTTATTATAAATAAACATTCTCTGTGTCAACCTCCAGACACTATGGTTGTCCATGATAAACCTACTGGAGACAATATATATACCAGGGGTACACAATAGCCACAAGGTTGTAGCTAGTATAAATTGTTTGTTGACAGACCCAGACGTACCCAAGATAAATGCCCCACTGCCGGTATATGTACAGCAGGCTGCTGCTGCCAAGACTATTGGGTAAGTTGTGAGTCAATCACATTGTACATTACACTTAATATAAAACAGTTATGGCTATGGTTCAACGGAACTAACTTTGTAACAGAGAGGACTAGTGATAATGTCTTGATCAGTAATTGATTGTAATCTGAGATATTTTTGATGGGATTGTATTTTGGTCACCAATCTTGTCAAGGTAAGACAAATGCTTTCACCTCTGATTTTGACTTTGATACAAATAAAAGATTTAGATTTATTTCTGTCACAGCAAGTGTTGTCATTAACAATTTGATTATAGAATTAGTCCAATATGGAAAGTTTTACATACTCATACAGGGGTGTACAATTTCAAGTTTAGAGTACTTACCCACAGGCAGATTTTGAAACTAATCTAAAAGTGAAAGTGTTGACTACAGCCCTGAAATAATATCTTCTAGACCCAGGCATCATATCAGGCTAGTAGAATAGTACACCCCTGTCATAAAGTGGATCTGTTTGCTACACATATAACCATTCTGCTAAAAGATGAGTTCTTTCTGATTTTGATATTTTACAAACTGAAACCTTAAATGTAGAGTTTCATCTTTATCGAGGTGGTTTCATTTTGAATTTAAAATGTTGTTGTTTTTAACAGAATTCTTGAAAGGGAGTCAAATGAAATTGCAGAAAAGTTGATACAGGTATTATATTATCTTATATGTTAACCATCATAAATTATTTAGCTCCTATACCAATGGAGGCTGAACAGTTATTTGATGATAATCTGTTGATTAAATTCATTTCTTCCAAAATGTAGATTACAGTATCTTAAATCAACTTGCAGGTGCAAAAAATGTTTAGAAGATTTATATTGTCACAAACAATTCATAAGATAATAGACTTTGGATATCAAGTTTTGATATTGCGTCCAGCACATCAATGGCTGAGCCACATAAGTACTTCCATCCTTGCCAAGTCTGCCTATTTATAACGGAGACTTTCACACTCACGTTTAAATTTTGAAATCAGCAGAATTGTCTTCATCTTGATTTTTAATATTATTATATTTTATTTGTATTTCAGTAATAGGGTTTTATGTGTATAATGTTTCAATTACAGCTGAAAGTGACCCACAATTTGTTGTATGCAATGGGGAACATGGACCACGCTGACAGTCAGAGACAGTCTAGCATGTCTCTGGAGGTAGGTGTTACTACACACATCTCTACATTTACTGTGATATACTGTACACTCCGACAGTCTAGGATGTCACTGGAGGTAGGTGTAACTACACACATCTCTACATTTACTGTGATATACTGTACACTCCGACAGTCTAGGATGTCACTGGAGGTAGGTGTTACTACACACATCTCTACATTTACTGTGATATACTGTACACTCCGACAGTCTAGGATGTCACTGGAGGTATGTGTAACTACACACATCTCTACATTTACTGTGATATACTGTACACTCCGACAGTCTAGCATGTCACTGGAGGTAGGTGTTACTACACACATCTCTACATTTACTGTGATATACTGTACACTCCGACAGTCTAGCATGTCACTGGAGGTAGGTGTTACTACACACATCTCTACATTTACTGTGATATACTGTACACTCCGACAGTCTAGCATGTCACTGGAGGTAGGTGTTACTACACACATCTCTACATTTACTGTGATATACTGTACACTCCGACAGTCTAGCATGTCACTGGAGGTAGGTGTTACTACACACATCTCTACATTTACTGTGATATACTGTACACTCCGACAGTCTAGCATGTCACTGGAGGTAGGTGTTACTACACACATCTCTACATTTACTGTGATATACTGTACACTCCGACAGTCTAGCATGTCACTGGAGGTAGGTGTTACTACACACATCTCTACATTTACTGTGATATACTGTACACTCCGACAGTCTAGCATGTCACTGGAGGTAGGTGTTACTACACACATCTCTACATTTACTGTGATATACTGTACACTCCGACAGTCTAGCATGTCACTGGAGGTAGGTGTTACTACACACATCTCTACATTTACTGTGATATACTGTACACTCCGACAGTCTAGCATGTCACTGGAGGTAGGTGTTACTACACACATCTCTACATTTACTGTGATATACTGTACACTCCGACAGTCTAGCATGTCACTGGAGGTAGGTGTTACTACACACATCTCTACATTTACTGTGATATACTGTACACTCCGACAGTCTAGCATGTCACTGGAGGTAGGTGTTACTACACACATCTCTACATTTACTGTGATATACTGTACACTCCGACAGTCTAGCATGTCACTGGAGGTAGGTGTTACTACACACATCTCTACATTTACTGTGATATACTGTACACTCCGACAGTCTAGCATGTCACTGGAGGTAGGTGTTACTACACACATCTCTACATTTACTGTGATATACTGTACACTCCGACAGTCTAGCATGTCACTGGAGGTAGGTGTTACTACACACATCTCTACATTTACTGTGATATACTGTACACTCCGACAGTCTAGCATGTCACTGGAGGTAGGTGTTACTACACACATCTCTACATTTACTGTGATATACTGTACACTCCGACAGTCTAGCATGTCACTGGAGGTAGGTGTTACTACACACATCTCTACATTTACTGTGATATACTGTACACTCCGACAGTCTAGCATGTCACTGGAGGTAGGTGTTACTACACACATCTCTACATTTACTGTGATATACTGTACACTCCGACAGTCTAGCATGTCACTGGAGGTAGGTGTTACTACACACATCTCTACATTTACTGTGATATACTGTACACTCCGACAGTCTAGCATGTCACTGGAGGTAGGTGTTACTACACACATCTCTACATTTACTGTGATATACTGTACACTCCGACAGTCTAGCATGTCACTGGAGGTAGGTGTTACTACACACATCTCTACATTTACTGTGATATACTGTACACTCCGACAGTCTAGCATGTCACTGGAGGTAGGTGTTACTACACACATCTCTACATTTACTGTGATATACTGTACACTCCGACAGTCTAGCATGTCACTGGAGGTAGGTGTTACTACACACATCTCTACATTTACTGTGATATACTGTACACTCCGACAGTCTAGCATGTCACTGGAGGTAGGTGTTACTACACACATCTCTACATTTACTGTGATATACTGTACACTCCGACAGTCTAGCATGTCACTGGAGGTAGGTGTTACTACACACATCTCTACATTTACTGTGATATACTGTACACTCCGACAGTCTAGCATGTCACTGGAGGTAGGTGTTACTACACACATCTCTACATTTACTGTGATATACTGTACACTCCGACAGTCTAGCATGTCACTGGAGGTAGGTGTTACTACACACATCTCTACATTTACTGTGATATACTGTACACTCCGACAGTCTAGCATGTCACTGGAGGTAGGTGTTACTACACACATCTCTACATTTACTGTGATATACTGTACACTCCGACAGTCTAGCATGTCACTGGAGGTAGGTGTTACTACACACATCTCTACATTTACTGTGATATACTGTACACTCCGACAGTCTAGCATGTCACTGGAGGTAGGTGTTACTACACACATCTCTACATTTACTGTGATATACTGAACACTCCGACAGTCTAGCATGTCACTGGAGGTAGGTGTTACTACACACATCTCTACATTTACTGTGATATACTGTACACTCCGACAGTCTAGCATGGCACCAGAGATGAGTGTTACTCAGTAATATGATCTTATAACATTTATTATAATATACAGAAAATTACAACAGTCTAGCGGTCTTGAATGTCACAGTTAAGCATGTCACTGGAATAAGGTGTTGCTATCCCTATAGAATCTCTCTGGGAGAATGTTACAGATCTTGAATGAAACACATGTAAAAAGAATTTATCCAAATTTAATATTAATAAAATATGTAAAGATAATAAAAACTAGGAACAAATACCCACAACTGTCTCCTTATTTCCTAGTACCTGTGTCGGACATTCCCAATCGTGGATGAGAATGTGCGGGAAGCTATGGGAGAAGCCTTGTATAATATCTTCATGGTAAGTTTACTGATACTGTTTAGTTACATGGTTAGTTTACTGATAATGTATAGTTACATGGTAAGTTTACTGATAATGTATAGTTACATGGTTAGTTTACTGATAATGTTTAGTTACACGGTTAGTTTTCTGATACTGTATAGTTACATGGTTAGTTTACTGATAATGTATAGTTACATGGTAAGTTTACTGATAATGTATAGTTACATGGTAAGTCTACTGATAATGTATAGTTACATGGTAAGTTAACTGATAATGTTTAGTTACATGGTTAGTTTACTGATAATGTATAGTTTCATGGTTAGTTTACTGATAATGTTTAGTTACATGGTTAGTCTACTGATAATGTATAGTTACATGGTAAGTTAACTGATAATGTTTAGTTACATGGTTAGTTTACTGATAATGTATAGTTTCATGGTAAGTTTACTGATAATGTAAAGTTACATGGTTAGTTTACTGATAATGTATAGTTTCATGGTAAGTTTACTGATAATGTAAAGTTACATGGTTAGTTTACTGATAATGTATAGTTTCATGGTAAGTTTACTGATAATGTAAAGTTACATGGTTAGTTTACTGATAATGTATAGTTTCATGGTTAGTTTACTGATAATGTTTAGTTACATGGTTAGTCTACTGATAATGTATAGTTACATGGTAAGTTAACTGATAATGTTTAGTTACATGGTTAGTTTACTGATAATGCATAATTACATGGTAAGTTAACTGATAATGCATAATTACATGGTAAGTTTACTGATAATGTATAGTTACATGGTTAGTTTACTGATAATGTATAGTTTCATGGTAAGTTTACTGATAATGTAAAGTTACATGGTTAGTTTACTGATAATGTATAGTTGCATGGTTAGTTTACTGATAATGTATAGTTACATGGTAAGTTTTCTGATAATGTTTAGTTACATGGTTAGTTTACTGATAATGCATAATTACATGGTAAGTTAACTGATAATGCATAATTACATCGTAAGTTTACTGATAATGTATAATTACATGGTAAGTTTACTGATAATGTATAGTTACATGGTAAGTTTACTGATAATGTATAGTTACATGGTAAGTCTACTGATAATGTATAGTTACATGGTAAGTTTACTGATAATGTATAGTTACATTGTTAGTTTACTGATAATGTATAGTTGCATGGTTAGTTTACTGATAATGTATAGTTACATGGTAAGTCTACTGATAATGTATAGTTACATGGTAAGTTTACTGATAATGTATAATTACATGGTAAGTTTACTGATAATGTATGATTATATGGTAAGTTTACTGATAATGTATAATTACATGGTAAGTTTACTTATAATGTATGATTACATGGTAAGTTTACTGATAATTTATAATTACATGGTAAGTTTACTGATAATGTATGATTACATGGTAAGTTTACTGATAATGTATAATTACATGCTATGTTATAATGACATTGCTCTGGTAGAGTTTTTCTCATGAGTTGAATTTATTGACTCAAATTGTGAAAGACTCAAAACGATTCACATAAAGTTAATGAAAATGTCAATCCTGAGTGGTAATTCATTGAGAAATATAAATACCAATTTATTAAAATCAGTAAATGATCGTTTATGAAATATAAAATCTGGGGCTTTTATTTCTTACAGTCCAACCCGGAGTCATTGTACATGAATATGACTCACATCCAGGCTGATGTGTTGGTGTCCAACAAAGTCAACATTCCCAACGGTAGGTGCTGAGTGTAGAATGTGACACTTTTATATTTAACAAGGTTTTCATTTTGCACAAATTTTACAACAGCTTGTTCCTACATGAGTTTGGATAGTATTCGCATGTTATTTTTTAAATCAAGGAGGTATACCTGATCTTTCCTCCATTTTGGGAAAGAAAAGCAATTTTGCTATGGGAAGCAGTCTAGCTGTATTCTGCTGTAAAACTAGGCAAAATTAGATCACTGTTTTAAGGGGTGCTCGTTGTCATTACATAATTGGCATGACTGTTTCATAAGAAATAGCCTTGTTAACTTAAAGAAGCTTTGTTTCATGAGATTTCATAAATTTTCTTACTGGGATATCAAAATTTTAAAACAGTTCCACACAAAAAAAATAACTTGTAAACTGTTCGGTAATATTTTCTTACTTGAATTATTTATTTAGGACACACTTGAAGCATACAAACAAACTGTACTTATGATAAAAAACAATTGATTATATTTGAAATTGTGTTAATATGCTGTATTTATTCTGTTATTACAGTGGTTGAAACAGTAGACTGAGACCTGGTTTACATGCAGACACGTTATGAACATTGGCTGTGAACAACTGTATAAACTCTCTGTCCATTCTCCGTCTGTGGGGTCCAGGTTACTGTGGATCTTCGGCTGAGAGGGAAACTGGACCTATATGACATTGACAGTTATACAAATGGAACCTTGTCAGTCCAGCATTGTAGTTTGGACACTCTGGTTTTCCACAAACATCTGGAGTTACCGAAAAATTCAAGGATGTGGAATATGATAAAATTAACTTTATGTTTGTTATTAAGGCCCACGTAAGAAATATTTGAATTATTGGATTCATTAAGATCCGTCATATCCTGGGTCAACAGGAAGGAGTGCAGCTGTGATATATTGGAATGTGATGGATTACTGGCTTGATCAATTTGTTACAGTAATCTTAAAACTGAGGACACTTTGAGACTTTTCTTTAATGACATTTGGATTTAATCCATATATAAACACTTAATACTAAATTGTAAATAAAGTATCTAGTGAATTCTAAATTGTAAATAAAATATCTAGTTCATTAAAATTTTGAATTTTTGTTAATTGGGTTGCCTCCCTTGTTCCAGCGTTCAAAGGATGGATGCTGCCACAACATTTAACACCACAAGGCCAATATTAAAGTCTAAAAAGTTTGTACACAAAAAATATATTTGACAGAATATTTAGGGGAATGGGCTGTCTATTATACACACACATTGATTGTGTCATAGCCCGTTTTGGGATGGTTCTACCTATATATACAAAGCCCTTTAATTTGTTAGGCCTAATACGGTTACCCAACCACCTGGATTCAGCGCTGCTGATAGACAGACACTTCAGTTCCTAAAACCGCCATTTCATATAATACTTTCATTTCTAATCACATGTGACATTTAACGGCCGACAAAAAAACAACAACCTACAAATGCCAGCACTATAAACGTGATCCGAAATGACAGTTTTTATAAAGACGGAACAATTTTGGTGTGAAAGGTTCCTGAACTCGGGGCATGTATTACTATTGAAGACAAATCTGGGGAATACTTTTTCTTTCGAGAAGAAATTATAACTCGGACCTAATGCATTATGTACATTGATATCGGTACAAGTAATCATGTTGCCAAGAGAGTAAACACGATGATCTCATGGGAAGAGAACTGCGGGATTTCCTGCATGCATCGGAATTCCAAGTGTTACGCTCTCTTAAGTGCTCTGCACCCCTTGATTAGGCACTGACAATATTGTAGGCTACCTTGTGAATGATACATGTACACTAGCATGATCGTTGGATGTACATCAAAGCAATCGCGCAACAGCGTAACGGTAAAATCGTCCGGTTTTGACGTTAGGTGTCGCTCCTCTGTAATCTTCAAAAGACATGTATCAGTCAAAGCGATTGGTGATTTTTCCTACCTGGAACCAATAAAAAGTCTAGCCGCGTACCTTGGATTTTGTCATGATATGAAGTATGATTTGTGGTTAACGTAAAAAGGAGAGTTCAGAAGAAAACATTTTTTTATCGCGTTAATTGATACATTTACTGGCCACAACAAGTACACCAAGACTGACCATACTTTTCTCAATTTCAATATGACAATTTATATATGCATGTCTTTATTTGTGTAAGATGTGTATAAACTATCTAACAAGTGATGATTAGTTAAATCTGCTATAATGTAAGCCTGTGATATGAGTGATGTCTGTAGTGCTTTTTATTGGTTTACTCTTATTAAAACAAAGTGATTCATGTGACGTAGCCCAGTGAGGATTTGATTGGTGTCGGGTATAAAAACCAGACAAATTGCTGGGCTGATTCTTGTCCTTTGCAGATAACAGAGGAACTACACCCAAGACACAAGATACACGAATTTTTATTCAACGTCGCATATATATAGTAATACACATTTGAACCGTAGTGCTTCTTCCTCTGTCGATCGTTTGGATCCAAAAAGAAATGACAAGGACAAACAGTTTGCAGGTAGTTACAAGGTTAGTTAAGACATGACAAGGACAGTGTGCAGGTAGTTACAAGGTTAGTTGAGACATGACAGGCGGATAAACAATAAAGGTACAAAAAAGCAAAACAGCACATAAGTAATCACAGAAAGGTAGTATTTGAAGTTAAATTTATAAACTGGATGCAAATATACATGTTTAACCAACTTCAAGGGCGCTTCATCAAAGACATCATACTAGTCTGGTTGTTTCAGCTGCAATGTATCGCATAAAGAGAATTCGATTTTGTTATTAGTATCTGCAGAAACGATATGTGTATCGGGATATGTCCCTTGGCGTTCGAAGGTTTGGTATACCTGATATGTGTATCGGGATATGTCCCTTGGCGTTCGAAGGTGTGGTATACCTGATATGTGTATCGGGATATATATATGTCTCTTGGCGTTCGAAGGTGTGATATACCTGATATGTGTATCGGGATATGTCCCTTGGCGTTCGAAGGGTTAATATACCTGATATGGATAGGTTTATGTCCCAGCGCAACAAAAAATATGATATAAGACGATCATTATCGAACTAATATCATATCGAGTATCTGGTGAGCCATTGAGTTGTTTACAAACTAACTGCCTGATAGAAAATAACATATATTTATTTCAAACCCCAAAAATCCATTGTTGTCCTTTTTATTTTAGTGTATGTTAATAACACATCCATCCTCTATATCCAGGGGTTACGCTCACTTTCGCATCTCTGCACCGCTGGAATATGTCATCGCAAAATTGAAGGCACGCAGCTAGCTATTTGATTGGTGTCAGGTTAATATTCCGACCAATCACTAGGCTGACGTTTGTTGAAGATTACAGAGGAGCGACGCTCGACTTCAAAGCCAGAAAGTTTTACCGTTACGCGACCGCGATTTTCTTTTGATATACATCAAAGGTCCAACTAGTCTTCTCGTCAAGGTTCTGCACGCTGAGCCTTCAAATTTGCTATGACATATTCCAGGGGTGAAGAGAGCAAAAGTGAGCGTAACCCCTGGATATCGAGGATGTAACACATCTGAATATTTGTATTCCGCCCATAACTGCTGTTATTGACAATACATCTCTTTACCGCAAATCCGTGTCGTATCGTGAAGAGGAACTGCCATAAACCCAGATCTTGATTCCTTAAATGAGTTGTCAAAAATGGTCAGCTGATCTAAATGCTGACAAGACAAATATTTTGTTAGCCCCTGGTGTTAGAGACTATTCGATGGAGGTATTTTGAATTACCGTTTGTCGATAAAGTATTAACTTTTAGTAATCAACTCCTGGGGATACATTTGAACGCTAAAGATGTGTGGGGTGAACATTTATTAACGATAAACACATATGTCAGGAAGAAAACATGCTTTTAGGACTCAAAAGAATATGCTCAAATGAGACACTTTGTTAAATGTTATTCTCTTTTACATATTTTTGAATACTGTTGTGTATTTATGAGATTGTGGCTCAATCACATGAATTGAGATGTTAGAAAAATGTCTACGTGAAGCTGCTCGTATTATCACAGGTCTGCGATTTGATGGAAGGAATTTTTCTATTTCGAATTTGGTTCAGAAAAAAAACCCATTCAGAAAGGCGAAAAAAGACAGGAAACTTAAGTCATTGTACAAAATAAATCATGGTATAGCGCCAAACTTCCCAAATAATGTTCTATCAATGTAAAAGATATCACATAAGAAATTTCCATGATTCAGCTACTGTAATACCCAACTTTAGACTTGCTAATGGAAATTCATCTTCTATGCATCCTGTGTTACGTTATTGGAATACCATTGATATTTCTGTAGACTTTCGAAATTGTTACAACAAACCAAAGGCCTTCTCCACAATAATGATGCATTGATAATACTTGAGTATGAAAGTCGGTCTGCATGCAATAAAAAATGATTTCTGTGACATACGCCAACTTGGAGGATTTTCAATTATCTTGAACGATAATGCTCTTCTTTACATTCCCCAAATTCCATTTTTTCCAAGTTCTTTTGATATGTCACTAAGTATTAAACGTGTCTATTTTCTTTTCTTCACGTGTCAAAACTGTGCTGTGATCTATTTCCTAGAATGCCCTGGCATAAAGCCAGACAGGTGCTCATAGGTGCACATTATTATACTTTCTGATACTTACGTTTTACAACAAACCTTCAACGAAACTCTAGCCCAAATAAAGTGTGTATATTGCATTATTTACAGCAGACGGGTACGCAGGGTGAAGTTATAAAATACAGTTTATACTAATTTTGAACTATTTGTGATAGGAGTTATATTCCACGCTAATAAAACTCATATTCAAAATATGTTTAGTACTATCACTACCTCTCATGATGCTGTCATATCTCAGCGGTCAAAATACATGTGACACTGTTAACGTACGTATCACTATAGAGTTAGTGG